CCCTACATCTCATACCAGCAGCTTCAAGTTTTATTGGGGACAATAGATGGAAGCAAAGGGATACAGTGCTTCAGTCTTTTACTAGACTCAGTATCGTAGGACTATGATTCAGTGACAGAGCACATGATTTGCATGCAGGTGCCAGGCTTGATCCCCATATTTCCCAATTAAAGAATCTCTGGTAATAGGCGTTAGGAACAACCCGTCTCTGCCTAAAGCCCCAGAAAGTCAATGCCAGTTAGTGTAGTCAGTAGTGAACCTTGTGAACCAATGGTCTGACAACCCAGGTCTTGCATTCAGAGATGGAGAGGCCATCCTTCTGAACGAACATTCGAGATGCAAAGGGAACAAGTTTGGGAATGGGCAGCTTCCAGAAGACATGGGTTGATTGTAATTTGGTGGTCAGGAAGCCCGAGTTCCCTGAAGGACATTGTACTTCACACTTCTGATGTAGTTCAGCAGACCCTTGCTGACCTGCTTTCTTCCAACTTAGTTTAGCCTGGAAGATGGCTCCCTACCTTGACTTGGCTGATATGGCCACCTGGATCCACACCATGGCCGTACTGCAACTAGATTACACTGTAATGCCCTCTATATAGATGTCAAGAGAGAAGCCATCTTAGAGGAAGATTCCAGCTAGAACTCTCATCATGTGGCACTGACTGCTTTGCAGGTGTCAAGAACCTGTTAATTAGTTCACACAGTTCAGCTGTGAATCTGGTATGGGAAGCAGAGCTCACGTACCCCAGAAAGTTCCATGGAGACAGCACTGCGATTGGTTGGGAAGGTCGGGTGGTTACAGCTGGCAATATCTGTATAATATGGGCTATGGTAGAAAGAACAGTCCCCTCCTTATCCCCTCTCCTCCACCTACCCACCCTTGTTACCAGAATATATTCTTTATATGCTCTGGAACATCATGCTTCAGGTGTGCTGCTGATAGGAATAAGTAGAACAGCCAGTTAGTTTTGTTGTTTTCCTATCCATTGGGACCCCACTGAACTATATGCTTTGTTTTTGAGAACTTTTCTTGAATTTCTTCAATAAAGCTTTTTTGCTGCATTTTGTGTAAGTTGCATCAGCCTTGTGTAAGTTGCATCAGCCTTGGCAATAGGTTTCCCCTCAACTTGGAAAAACAGAGCAGAATGCCACAGCTTGTTATGATCAGGAACTTAGAAGGGCATCTTATAGCCATTCTGCAATCATTCCACTGGTTTCCAATTAGTTACCAGGTTCAATTCATGGTACTGACTATTGCATACAAAGCCTTTCATGGCCTTTGACCCTCATATCTGTGAGACTGCCTCTCCTCCTGTCCCATCATGACAACTTTGCTCATCTGAGCAAGGCCTTCTACAGGGACCGGCATGCAAATGGGCAAGATCAACAACTGCCAGAACATGGACATACATTGTAGTCACCCTCACTACATGAAATGGACTGCCTGAGGAGGTCAAGAAGACTCCCATACTTTCCACAAACTATGTAAAACATAACTTTTAAATAAAGAAATAAGGCTGTATTATAATAAGAGTGATTCAGGAAGACATGTCAACAGAGAACTGGACTGTGGAACTGTAGTACTACTGTGTATTATCTGTTGCTGCATGTCTTTACCTTTCTCCCACTGCAGGATACCCGTCTGATCGGCATTTCCCCCGAACCACAGGACCTCGACCGGGACATGTGCTTGGGTGGCCGCGCATTAGTTTCCTCCGGGGCAATTAGCCATGCCTCCTCCCCGCGATATCTGGCCCGTGTGACCGGGGCCTTAGAAGGGCATCTTATAGCCATTCTGCAATCATTCCATTGGTTTCCCATTAGTTACCAGGTTCAATTCATAGTACTGACCATCGCATACAAAGCCTTTCATGGCCTTTGACCTTCATATATGTGAGACTGCCTTTCTCTCACTGCATTATATTTCTATTTATGTAATACCATTTCTAGCTCTGACCTGGATGACCCAGGCTAGCCCAATCTTGTCAGGTGTCAGGAACTAAGCGGGCCCCAGTTTTTAATCCTGATAACATTGTGTAATGTTAAGTTAGAGAGGATTGTGGCCCAAGTCCATATCTGGACAAATGGCTGCACAGCCATTCTACACCAAGGCTGATGGATGGAAAGCTGGACTATCAGATTTTCCCTGTGCTTGAGGATGGGGGAAAGGAGCTGCCACTTACTATAAAAATTTATGGACATTTGTGGCCAACCAGGGGCACTGGGAGTTTGAGACTGTCTTCTTCAAGCAACCTGACTTAGTGGTAATCCATATTATTTGTTGATGTCAGATACACTGATGTTTGTATTTGGCTCATGCATAAGGAACCAACAACAGTCAACAGTAAATATACATACAAATACAGTTGTTAAGTTCAACTCCTCCTAGTCTACACTAGGATGAGTTGAATGTAACAACAACTGTATTTGTATGTATATTTATATATTTAGCTCATGACCATTGTCAGGGTAAAACTGCCATTCTATGGTTCACCCCCAGAGCAGGGAAATTTGAGTAGTGGAAGAGGGCAAAGAAAAGAAAATCTAAGAACCAACAACTTTTTTACAGCTTTCATGATAGGGAAACCTCCTTTTGAAGTGGAGCCATAAATGTTTCCTGAACTCTTCCCCCCTTGTATGTGTTAGTTCTCCATTTATTCAGGGGTCTTGTTGTAGAAAAAGAGCTGCCGGAGCTCATTAGCATAACTCATTAGCATAACTTATTTGCATATGCCACGCCCCCTGACATCACCGGAAGTGACAGAAGGCCACACCCCCTGACATCACCGGAAGTGTGTCAGAAGGCCCGGCTACTTACCCTCCTGCTTCATCCTCATTCCCAAACGGAATGAGGATCGAAGCAGAGGGCGGGGTCAAGAAGGGAGCGGGGCTTCACCACGTGACCGCCCCGCCCCCTAGAGGTTCTCTTCCGGAGCTCCGTACCTGAGAGCTCCCCCCCGACTAGAGCCCTGGGTGTAAGTAAAGGTAAAGGTTCCCTTGCTCGAAAGCCAGTCGAATCCGACTCTAGGGATGGTGTATATCCCCTCAAATTTAGTTCTAGTGATGCTACAAAGTTAAAGCGGTAATGGGCTTATTTTTGAATTCTCTTTGCTCACAATACTTCGGCCTACCTCTATGCTCTTGTGCGAGTGGGGAAGCTGAAACTGTTGGTGGAAAGTACCATCATGTCACAGCTGACTTATGGTGACCCTTTGGGTTTTCAAGGCAAGAGGCATTCAGAGATGGTTTGCCATTGCCCGCCTCGGCATAGTAATCCTGGAGTTCCTTGGGGGTCCTCCCATCCAAGTAATAACCAGGGATAACCCTGCTTAGCTTCTGAGATCTGATGAGATGGGGCTAGTCTGAGCCATTCAGGTCAGGGCACTGAAACTGGTGGGCATGTCTTATTGCACTGCCATTTTTTATCCTCCCATCCAAGTAATAACCAGGGATAACCCTGCTTAGCTTCTGAGATCTGATGAGACGGGGCTAGCCATTCAGGACTCAGGGCACTGAAACTGTTGGACATGTCTTATTGCACTGCCATTTTTTATTGCAATCTTTGACATGATTTCAATACCCCTATTCTAAAAAAAACAAAACAATTCCAGGTAGATCAGAGGAATCATATGTTTCCTTTCTTCTTTCGGACCACGAATCACAGATAAGAATGGATCACCATGGATCACAGATAAAGTGGGCAGATTTTGTGCAGTTGCTAGTGTGTATTGTAGTTCTGCATTATTTAATGGGTTACATTTGTTTATTTTAATATAATTTATATAAAGATTTTAATGTAACACTTCTGGTAATGTGTTTACTTTTGTGCTGGTCTTTGACCATAATAAATAATTCAATTCAATTGTTGATATGAGCAACAGGGCTGTTGGAAGTGGCATTTCAAACACCTGCATAGAGTGCCGTAGGAATTGCTGTGCTTTCAAGTTTTATTAGAGGATTCAAGGAATATATAAGTGTTTGGTTAAACATATGGCTGAGTAAAAAAAAATGAAACAAATTTAATAGATGAAACCGAGAATACTTCAGCCCCCTTGCTGTGAAACAGTTACTGTGTCCATAAAAGCAAGATGTATTTCAAACTGATGTGCTATTTGTGTGGTTAGTACTTATCTGATTAGGGAGCCAAGGATGGTAGCTAGTGATGGCGCATGCACAGAAGTTAGTTACTTCAATCCCTTATGTAGTTTCCATAAAATGGATGGCTGAAATTGACTTCATCTTTTTGTAAATGAAATTGTGAATGCTTCTGCAGCTGCTACCTCTGCTGCATCATGAAGAGATCCATGGATGGAATGAGGCACCATGGTGACACAGAAAGTACATGGAAGTAAAGAGAACATAGCATGGTTGCCTAGGCAATGTGCTATAATTGATTGCCTCTATCCATGATACAGTTCCCAAGCAGCAGTGCGACAATGTACATACGGGGGGGGGGAACCAGGCCAGTCAATTTAAAAGTCGTGATAAAAAGTGTCCTTTAAAAAAATAAGCATTTGCAGATGCTGCTCATAATTGGTGACTCAATTATTATTCAAGCCATGGGGAATTTACTCGTCATTATTTAGAAATATCTTTCTGCATCAATGACAGAAATAGTGCCAAACGCACTCAAATAAAGCAGTCCATACATATAAAATCAAAAGAGAAAAGGAAATCTCAACAAAAAAACTATATATTGATGAGAGCAATATTCAGACCTGATATAACAATACAATTCATACTCTCTCGTAACCTCTCACCTCCAAGACAAAACAAACATGCAGGAGGATTTGTAAGATTACATTTATTTGTAGCTTCAACAAGTCCATCCAAGGGCAACTTGCTTCTATATAAGGCACTAAAAAAAGCCCTTTTGCTTAGAGCTTTATTTTTTGTTTTGTTCTAAACTCAAGTCATATATACCTCAGTCAATGTGATTTTCAAAATGGTGACAATTCTTACAGAAAATTTCACATATGCCAATCTCATAACTGGCCCAGGAACTGAAACTCTTTTACTCAAAAAGGTTAAGAAAAAATGAACATAAGAAACTACTGAAACATTGCCTTCATCCTGTATAATGTGTCCCTAATTTTCCGGGACTGCTTTTCAGGTGGTGTTTGGTGAAAGTTGGCATAGTTGTCAGCTGCTAAGACAGAAATGTCGACATCGTTAAAGGAAGCTATTCTTTGTCTTAAGCAAGCCTGCAGTTGGTGGTCTGGGGGGAAAGTGTAGGGATTTACTTGAAACGCATGAACCTGGCTCACAACTTTTGAAATATTTCTGTGAAGAGAAAAGACATAAGAGAGATAGATCAGTTTAAGAGCTGATACATAAAAGAACAAAACTATTCAAATTGCAAACAATCCTGAAAATGACACAAGTTTATATAATATGTATTTATAATCATAAACATTGCTTAAAATGTGTACCCTAAAATCAAAACAGGTCTCTTTACCTAAGTTTAGTCCACTTGTAAGAGCCATTTCTCATAGTAAATCCTCCAGTTTCAAGTTGCTGGACATGCATGGCCAGAACATGGGCTGATGGAATTGTTGGTGATGTCTTAAAACTTTCTCCCTCCATTAAACACAGGCTGTCACTCTTTAAAAATACCTGGCATAGTTAGCATAGAAGCACATGCAAAAATATTATAATGTGGAACAAATGATCTGTCTGATGCTGGAAAATTGTTTGCTTTAGAACACTGTAAATAGCATACTCAGTAAGTTTGTTTGTAAGAGAAAGACTCTATTTAGAGAAGAAAATAATGGCTATGAGTCATCTGGTGACAGAATTAGTGTGCCGTAAAAGAACACAGGTGGAAATCTAAAACACACAGCCATTTTGATGTAAAGCCATCAAGAGTTGCCATTTGGGGTGATGGCGATTTCTCTGGGAATTCACTCTCACTTCAAGATTGGAGACTGCCATGCTGTGACTCCTCTTCCAGAATTTGCTCTGAACATATGGAATGGAACTTTGACTGATGCAACTTCTGGCATATTTAAAAGTTCTGTCACCATCGCAAATTAAGTATGCTGCTACCACTACCACAGACTCACGTGAGTCTGTTTTAAATGTTAGATCCAGGTAGTCAGCTGTGTTGGTTTGAAGCAGTAGAACAAATTTTGAGTCAAGTGCCACTTTTAACACCAACAAAGGTTTATTCAAGGTATGAACTTTGTTGGTCTTAAAGGTACCACTTGACTCAAAATTTGTTTCAAATGCTGTTGAAGACAGCAGCACATAATTATGTGAAGAGATGTAGACAACATTGCCTTAACTGAGATACATTCCCCAGTGCATGAGAGGCAAGAACTGCAAACAAGGAAGAAGTTTTGAGAGAAGAAATTATTGTTAAAGAGCAACAGATAAATTATCAGGTGTTGTACAGGGTTTTATTTGAGCCAAAGATTGCTGGGACTCTGACACATAATCTGATTTTAATCCAAAATTTAATCTTTCTCTTTTTTCCCCCTAAGACATTCTGTGCAGCATGATTAGACACCTGTATCCCAACCCTCTGATAGCAGCTTCTTAGACTTGGTCTAGACAATACAGCCATCACAGGGAGATTTCTGTTTCCATGCCACATATTTGGGGTGATGCATTTCTCGCTTGCTACCTCAGGAGTCCACCTCAAGAATTCTGTGGCGATGTCAGGAGTTGCCTTTGGTAGCTAGAACCTTTGCAATATACTCCAGGGGAATGAGGCTTTTGGTAGTTTCCACCATGGAGTTCTGATTCCAAACTCTCTGAAAGAACAGGGACTATCTAGCCAGAGGTGCTGGTGGTTCTTGGAAGTGCTAGTGCTTCTACAAGCTTCTTGTAAAAAGCCAACAATATTTCTAGCATATTGAATTTCCAGAGCCCCAAACTCTTTACACTATGCAATGCAGATCAGGCCTTAGTAATTGTTACATTTGTAAAGCCCAGTAATACAGAACAGGATCTATGTGGTTACAGGTTATTCACCACTCAGGTGAACCTAATGTTTCTTCTTCCTTAGGGGCCAAACTAGACAGGAGTCAGGTTAGTATTCCTCTGACCTGGTTGTATCACTGCCAAATGTTACTTGAGTGAAAAAAAGTTTGCAAGGGTATTGGGGTCTCATTCGGCTCTGCACAGTGGGCCTTTCCCCAAGCTTTCTGGTGCCTTGTACCGACTGATGTAAGCCGCTCTGAGCCCGTTTGCGGGGAGGGCGGGATACAAATGGAATTAATAAATACGTAAATAAATAAATAAGCTGAAACATCCCAGAGGGGTTGGTTGCCCCATTTTAGAGCTACACTTGCATAAAATACTGCATGTGCAGCCATGGAATGGGGCAAATGAACCCCTAGGTGACAGGGAAATCACATGGGGTATGAAGGCAGAGGCTTCTCCTCCTCCCACACTGTAGTCCTGAACTAAATTGCCCCCCCAAATGTGTTTGTAAGCTTTGTTTCTGTCAAGTAATGTTTGGCACCAACACAATCAGAATCAGGGAACCCCAGCCCACCTCGCGATCCAACATCTCATCTAAGTCTTATCTTTGACAGGAGAAGTTAGAACTAGGTTTCAGCTAGACTCCATCCCAGAAGCTGCTAGGAGAGTTATTAGGCTCTATAAACAAAAAGCTCTCTGGTAGCTGAATGCATCTGATCAAATGAACTCTAGTCCATAAAAGCTTGTATCTCAATAAATCAGTTGGTCTTTAAAATCTGGTCGTGTGGTCTGAAGGCACACTGATGCATTCTTGCTGCAGCTAAGCAGGTACGAATCTGATAAAAGTGAGACCTCTTGGGAAACATATGCATGCTGCCTTTCTACAATGAAAGAAGAAGCCCAACGTTTTTTAATTTTCATTTTTTACTATAACAAACAACCACAGCTGCTCCTCTGGCATTTTAGACTCACTATTAGCATACAAACATAAGAAGAACCCTGCTGGATCATATCAGTGGTCCATCTAGTCCAGCAGTGTGTCTTGCATGATGGCGAACCAGTTCCTCTGGAGGGCCAACAACAGGGCATAAAAGACCAAGGTCTTCTAAGGTCTTCTCCTGATGTTGCCTCCTGACTCTGGGATTCAGAGATTTACAGCCTCTGAATATGGACATTAAGAACAGAACAAGAGCCCTGCTGGATCAGACAAGTGGTCCATCTAGTCCAGCATCCTGTCTCACACAGTAACCAACCAGTTTCTCTGGAGGGTCAACAACAGGGCATGGAAGCTTAGGCCTTCCTCCTGTGAGGTTCCCTTTAGTTGCCATGGCTAGTAGTCATTGATAGACCTATTCTCCATGAATCTGTCTAATCTCCCTTTAAAGCTGACTATGTCTGTGGCCATCAGTGCATCTTCTCACTCACTTTTTGAGTTTAGGAAGCTGCCTCCAGGATTGGGACCTTCTGATAAGCCTCCTGTCCGGAACTTTGGTTCACTCAAACTGGAGTCTGCTTTAAAAGTTTGGTTCAATCTGGCTGCGGCCTGCTCTTGTTAAAAATGTTGTCTTTAAGTCTCCTTAGTTCACACAGTCATGCTGGAGAGAACTGCCTGTCTCAGCACCTGCAAGATAAGATGTTCTCTTGCGGCCTTGGCTCGTTAACATTCCAAAGCAATTAAGTCCTGTGGGAAGGCCTGGTGCTGTGAAACTGCAGATCACATCACCTGCTCTTCTGACATGACCAGAGACCAGCCAGAAACCAATGATATCACCCTTTCCTTGATTGGCCTGCTTGTATTTGGAAGACATTGCTTGAACCCTGATTGGTGCCCAGGCCTAGCAATCAGTCTGGGACTCAGACAATAAATAAGTTACTTAACTTCTATTCAGGGGGCATGATGGTGTTGCATGTGAAGCTGACATGTAACTCTGCCCTGCTCATAGGGCTGCCAAGTGGGAGCGGGTGGCGGGTAAACCCCCCCTTTGGAGGCCCGATTTCCATCGCTGCGGAATCGGGCCCCAGGGGAACCCCGCCCCCGAAGCACAGCGTGGGTGCATCACAGGAAGTGACACAACCACATAGAGCACGTTGGGGGCGTGGCCCCAATCGTTGGAGGGAAAACTCTATGGTTTTCCCTCCAACAATTGGGGCCACACCCCCAACGTGCTCTACGTCATGCGTCACTTCCTGTGACGTTCTGGTGGCGCGCTCGCACGTACCCCTCGCCAGGTCCCGAACCGAAGCAACGCTCCCCCGCCGGTGAGTAAGTACGACTTGGCAACCCTACTTGCTCACCTTTCGGCCATCTTGGAAGCTCTGATTGCTGAAGTCAACCAGCCTGGCTTTTGGACTCTGGAGACGGAATACACTTGGACCCAGAACTGAATGGGTTACATCTTGACTTTGAGAACCAACGTTCTATAAGTGTTTAGCTAGTGTGTTAATCTTTAGCTCTCTTGTTTTATTCCCCACAATATTATCTTAAGTAATCTGCACTTTTTATTAATATACTCTGCTCTTAAATAAACATATATTTTATTCACCAGTTCTGGTTTCTGTCTCCACTGCTGCAATGAGCTATCTGGTGCCTGAGACTGTCGGTTACTACCTCTAGAATAACCTGTAGGTCTCCTGCTGTGAGCCAACCTCGCAGGGAGGATTCCCTAGAGGAGTCCGGTAAGGTGAAGAGTCTGTCCTTTGTCTCTGGACTGGAGGGATGTAAAAGGACTGGTGGTAGCACTACCAAGTTAAAGATAAAACAGGTACCTTTAACCCCTTTGTAATTGTAGCTAGCTAGCCTCTTGGCAAAGAGAACTCCTAGCCTGGGTTGGGCAGGTAGAGGGGTTCTCTTAGCCTCCCCCTTAACTTGGAAGAGGAAGATCATGCAAAACAAGAATTCTGTGAGCTTTCTTAATGCTCTGTGAACAGTGAAAATGGCAGCAATTGAGGGGCAGGGGTTCTTTGCTACTCTTGACTTTACCATCCTCTAGAGCCAACTCGGACAGTAGGTGTACCACTGTATCATAAAACAGTCCACAGAGTCATCAGGCTGAAGGTGGTTGCTGTACCTATCCACAATTTACTTTAGAATTTTTACTATACCTCAACTGCCTTGAGTTCTTCCATTATTTCCGATACTTTAGATGGTAAACATTTCCAAGCCTTAAAAGGAAATAAAATAAGACAAATTAAGTTTTACCCTCTGAAGATTAGTATTCATGCTGGAATACATGATTTTGCCTTTTCAAAATATTACAGCTACATTTCCTATGTGAACAGCAAAGTAAAGAATTAGTTACTCACTGGCAATTGCCGCACAATGAGATTTTCCAGGCCTCTTAGGATTTGTATTGCCGTGGCAACATTTCTTTGCTCATAGCAACATTTTGCAATAAAGAGAAATTTTGATAGCAAGCTCACCTGCACCTGAGAAACAAATTATAATAAATATTTTACTAAGGTATCATTGCTCAGTGCCAACATGTGTAAAGTGTATTTTTTTACCGAGTGCAATGTCTAGTATGCTCTTAGTAAATTTTTGTTATGTGCTTGAGTATTCTGATATAATAGAACAGCTGGAAACAGCCTGGCCATTTAAATGAGTTGAAACATTATCGAACAGTGACCAAATTTAAAAGTAGATTTTTTCCCCAGTGTCAGACTAGATCTGCCAATTTACTACAATTAACAGTCTTGCTTTATGAGTCAAAACAGGAAACACATTTTTATGGTATCGTTATCCTGTGAAACTCTCCATCTTCATCAAACTTGGTGCTCAATAGCAGCAAAAATTGCTGCTTTCTAATTGCTTGTTTGCCAGTTGCCAATTAACAATTATGTGCATTTCTGGTAAACAGGAAAGCTATTAAAGGAACAACTAACTATCTTCCTGCTTTGCTAACTGAGCCACAAAACAATCTGAGCCACAAAACAATCAGACTTGTTCTCTTGTTGAAGTTGATGATGTTATCAAAATGATATAGAATTTTCTCTGTCCCAAATTCTCTGAAGGGATACATGGGGTAGAAAGACAGGGCGTGCCAAAACTGAGCCTCTGGGAAGATCATCCAATGGACAGTTAAGGCAACCCAGCCACGGCACCTCTGAGCTGACAATTTGTTTCACAATGGGAGACACAAAGGATTTTGGGCTCTTGAATGGACAAACTGAAAACTGATTACACTGCAGTAGTGCCAGCCCATCTGAGGTGCACCTGCCCCACTGGATCACGCAAAATGTGTGCTGTGTAATATAATATTTGTTTTTGTTCATTTTTTTGTGAGCGTTACTTTCATTCAGTACCCCTTGGACATCAAAGGTATGCAAACACACACACAACCAACCAAATGAACAAAAACACCACGTCTAAACACCTGACTTATTCACTTCTATCATTATCCCTACTCACTATCACAGACATGAAAGGAAAACAAATTGCCCGTAACAATGGCTGATAAAACAAAATAATGGTAAGAAGATACATCAAAGAAGAATTATATAATATCAACAGGAGAGAAACAGTTATTCTCAAAAGAAATGATCAGCATTCTGGAACTTAAGGGGCTGCTAATGCACACGTGTATAGGTGCCAAAAAATGAGACCCCGTGGGAGGCAACATGGAAATACAAGCTTAATCTTTCCCTTCTATATATATATCTAAAAGTCCCTTCACCGTAAAATCAACGCCCAGGCCAAACCGCTGGACCTAGAATCATCAAATTCGGGGAGAGTGCTCCTACCATGGCGTAGATGCTCACTAAGAAGTGATTGTTAGAAATTTGACCCCTAGGGTGTCAAAAGAGGTAAAATGTGCTCCCCCCTTTGATTCCTATGTGGCTGCCAGGCGGCTGCCTCCTTGCAACCCCCACTCTCTGATTGCTTAGCTGCAGAGCTCAGTGTTCTGAGGTTAAAAAAAAAACAGTTACAGGGGACTACAGAGAGTTAATGACAGTTGAGGAAATAAGGAGTGGCCAACCACCTGTGAGGTGAAGCAAAGCTGCTGGCCCAGCCACCCTATGGCTTCAAACATGCTCCCCCTCCTACACCTGACAGGCAGTTGTCTGTCAGGTGCAACAGCAGTTGAAGGGTGCTTAAAGCCACAAGGGAGCATGCCTCAGCAGTACCACCGTATTGATCCTGCCAGCCCCGCCTCCACAGTGGCTTCTAATACTCCTCCCTCTCCTACACTAGACAGGCAGCTGCCTGTCAGGTGTAGGAGAGGAGGTGGGATGCTTACAGCCACCGGGGAAGTTTGCTCAGCAAGATTGCCTTAGCCCTGCTGCTGGCCCAGCTTCCCTGATGCCTTTAGACATAATCTCTCCAACACCAGACAGGTGGGTATCTGTCAGGTGTAGGAGCAAGGCCAGGGTACTTTTATCCATCAGGGATGTCACCCCAGCAGGATCACCTTAGCAATGCTGCTGGCCTAGCCTCTCTGATGGCTTCCAACACACTCCCCCCACCTGCTACACCTAACAGGCAGTTATCTATCAGGTGCAGCAGCAGTTGCAGGGTGCTTAAAGCCACAAGGGAGTTACCACCCCAGCAGTAAAGCCTTAGTGATCCTGCCAGCCCTGCCTCCACAGTTGCGTCTAATACTCTTCCCCCTCCCCCTCCTACACTGGACAGGCAGCTGCCTGTCAGGTGTAGGAGAGGAGGTGGGATGCTTACAGCTGCCAAGGAGGTTTGGTCAGCAAGACTGCCTCAGCCCTGCTGCTGGTCCAGCCTCCAATGCCTTTAAACATACCCCCCCAACACCAGACAGGCGGGCGTCTGTCAGGTGTAGGAGCAGGACCAGGGTACTTTAATCCATCAGGGATGCTGCCCAAGCAGGATCATCTTAGCGATGCTGCTGGCCCAGCCTCTCTGATGGCTTCCAACACACTCCCCCCACCTCCTACACCTAACAGGCGGTTGTCTGTCAGGTGCAGCAGAGGTTGCAGGGTGCTTAAAGCCATGAGGGAGCCCACCCCAGCAGTCTACAGAGAGGTCCTTCAGTAGAGAAAAAAAGTACGTATGTCTCACTTCATTTTCTACACTACAATCTTCTCCATTAGAATTCCTACAACAAATGTTACATTTCAAACTTTACATTATCAGTATTACAACTGGATTTACGGACTTTAAATACCATAGCAAAGCACGGGTATCAGGCTAGTTTAAAATATGCTGATCATTTATATTTGGATGGGACCATCTGCATCAACAGAGGCATATTCCTATCAAGTACAGCAAAATGCCATGAACTGGTGATATACACAAATCTGATTGTCATGTTACCTGATTGCCTCAAAAAAAATCTCAGGACTGCTTTTTACATAAAAGAAGAAACTAAATGGTAAAGCCTGCTATGGTTCTAAAGAAACTTTAGCAGGATGTACCTCTGTGTCAATCACTCTTTTATTTTCCTCTTCTGTTTTATCCTCATAGCAATCCTACGAGGGTTAGGTTTGGCTGAGTGCAGGGTGAGTGACTCTTAGATTACTCAATGAGCTTCACAAAAGAGTCAGGTAAGTCTTGCAGATATGAGAGGAAGTGTGGTGTAACAGCCTCTCCCTAAGAATACATCACCCCAAGATGCTCATTAGGCCATTAATGATGCAGATAAATGCATAAATAAATGGACCCAATGAAGGTAAACAAACAAAAGGCCCTTTGTATGGAGCTGCTGGGAAAACGGCACTACCAGGCTCTTGTAGCTGACTGTCAATCAAGCCACTGTTGATTTACTGGAGGGTGCACAGTGATGGAGGGGTTTGCTGGGTGGTTCAAAGAAGAGCTCAGAAACCAGTATGGCCACAATAATTTATTTTAAGCATTTGTATCCTAGAACTCTACATCAGAAATTGGTTCCCAGTGAAGCGGAACAGAGGTAATTAAAGTGATAAAACATAACTCCTATAGAAACAACCACAAAATGAAATAGTGTGCTTTTAGTCTGAAAGTTGTTACATCCATTTTTAAGCTGTTCAGTGATTTGTTTTTATTCTCTGGTTGGGTTGTTTTTTTGTTTTGTTTTTTAAAAAGTTGGTTTTTAATTTGTAACTTCTATTATGGTATTTTGTAAGCTGCCATAGGCAGGTTTCCTGGGAGAGTTGGCGTAAGAATTCCCTAAATAAACAAATAGTGCAAATAAAGAAGCCATGCTGACTTGCTTAGGATCACACCTTGACAACTCGGACTGTCAGCTTATGGCCACAAAAATTCAGTCAAGATGAATAACTGAATCCAGGGGATGGGTTGAAGTAGATACTTGCATTTGTTCCTTCTTGGACACATGCCCTTGCTGTCTGTCGTATGCCTCAGAATATTAACTCCAAATAATACCTTGAGAGTACTTTTGTCTTGGGTCCTCTGCATCTCCCTCACATTTTCAGGGCTGAACTGTTGCAAGCATTGTCAGTGGACAGGGGAAAACTAACTAGTTCCTCTCCCACTGCAATTTTATATTCTCAATGTATCAAAGATACTTCTTCAAACTATGATGAACTCTAATTTCCTGATGGTAGATTACTAAAAGAAAGTAGTATACAGGTATGTGTGATGCTCCCCTTCATCAAGGCCACATTGCCATTGTTCTGCCATAACCTTCCCTACAGCAGAGGACCCACAAGGCCTCAAACAGGAAAGGGGCAGGACTTGCATCACCTGATTCTTCCTCTTTTCCATATCCTCCACTCTCACACATTGCCTGAATGGGAATCCTCCATCCTCCATGGTCTGATGCAGGTCCTTTTTAAATAGGCCACTCTTCCAATCCCCTCCCAGGGCTGGCTTTTCCCCTCCATCCTTTCACCCAACTAGGAAGCATCCTTAGGATTGCCAGTCCCCTGGTGGGAGTGGGGAATACCCTGATTTCATGGCCTCCTGCCCGCTACCAGCCAGCTGGCTGGTAGGGGGAAGCCCCGCCCAACAGCTACATCCTCAATGTGATGATGTCATGCAGAAGTGATGTTATCACGTTGGGGACATTGCATGGCGACGCTCTGGTTTTGGGGCAAAACTCTATGGTTTGAGCCAAATTTTACCACAGAGTTTGTCCCAAAACCACAGCAAAAACCCAGGCGTGATGATGTAACTTCTGTGTGATGTTATCATGTCATGGATGTCACGCACGGGGACATCGGCCCGCCCCCACTCCTGGAAAGCTCCCTCCCACCCCCCGTTGGCACAAGGTAAGGACCTAGCAACCCTAAGCATCCTGGAGCACTCTCTCAGCTCATGGGTAGCTCTCTCAGGATAGGCTTGACAATGTAACAGTCTCCATCAGGCAACTTTACTCAGAGTCTGCATCCCTCCTCTACCTGTTTCAGGCATATCCTGGCTGGGTTGGTTTAGCTGTTGGCTCATACTGCTTTCCTGAGCCAAGGTGAACTGTCCAGGGTGGGTCCCATTGCTGGAAATTATGATAATAGAGACAGGCAAA